GCAAGCCCAAATACCAAATGCCAATAATCAGCTACTATCAGCACTGGGACCAGGGCACCCCCAGTCAGGTTCCAGACATGGAGCTACACAGGTTCCATTGCTGACAATCAGCTGATTGATGGATGATGGAGCACACCACATGTTCAATTAATGGTGCATTTGTTGAGGAATATCTTTGTGGATGGTTTGCCATTTTACGGTGCCATAAATTTGATAAATCTGTGGCACCTTGCTATTTATGGCACGATTAACACATTAATCCTGCCAGAAATGCAAACATGTGCCAAGGGCCTTAGAATTCTGGATGCATAGGGAGAATTGCCAAAAGTCAAATTCAACTGGCATAAGGAAATGAAACCAAGCAGTAAAGGTTTTCTGCCAATATAAATAGAGAGAGAACAAAAATTAAGCTACTGTGCAGTGAAGTTGGGATTGAGATTATAAAACAATTTAGGCATGGGCTGAAAACTAAATGAATACTTCTTCTCAGTTTCCAGGATAGACAGAATGGCAGTATGGGTAGTGGGAATGAGTCTGGAAACAAAAACTACCATATGCTATATATATTTATGTTTGTAGAACTGAAGAACAAAATGTGGTCAAGCTTATTAGGTTCAAATCATAAGGAACAAATACCTCTCTCTCTCTCTTTCAGAATTTTTAAGGTTCTCACTCTTGAAATTACAAGGCCAGCGGAAAGAAGCCTATCAAATTGGTAGTATGTAACTGAAGAATACATATATGGAATTAGGGCTAGGGAAAAAAAGTAATCCTGGCAATCACTGCATTCTGCATACTATGCAAGGCTTGAGAACAAGCTTTGAGACAAAGAATAATTAAAACATGGGAAGTAAATAGGAAAAGAACAACATACAGCACAGGTTTACTAAACGTTGACTATATCAGATGTCTCTGGTAATTTTTGAAGAAATAACTGATTTTCTAAGACAAGGGAAACAATGTTGAACTACTGTATCTGGACTTGAAACAGTGTTGACCTGAAAACAGTGGTTAATAGAAGAATTATACAATGGATTAGGAAATGGCTAAGAGGTAGATGATAACAGCTTGTACTGAAAGGGGAACTGTCAGACTGGAGGAAGGGGTATTTTGGAGTTCTTCCAGAATGGGCATTGGGACTGATGTACTGTCAAGAAGAAGCCTCATTCAGTCTCCCTCTACTGAAGGCCCCCTGAAGGCAGACCTGGCATAGCTTCACAAGGGGTAAGTCCCTGGCTTGAGAATTCGGCTTCTTTATGTCCCTGGCTGCCCCAGCTATCCATAGCACCCTCTGCCTCGGAGAGTGACCTTATTTCAGTGAACTCCTAGGAAAGGGGGTGTTTTCTTTTTTGCAGAGCCAAGGGGGAGCGGGAGGAGGGAGTCTGAGTGCTGATATCCCAAACAGTATGGCAGACTGCTCAACTCAAAAGCTTGTCTAACTTTATCCTAACTACTGAGTTGATCTGATAAAAGAAAACCTTTACTTCCATAATTTCTGGACTATGGTGGCTACAATATCACTCTAACACTACAGCTTTATTGTGCCATTGCAGTTCACTCTGTCCTGCCTTGGACTCTGCCCTTCCGGGACTATTCTTTGCACACTGTTCTCCCTGGGGTTTTCTCTGTGTCCCCCCTGGGACTACCCTGTCTCTCTTTCAGCTCTCTCTGAGCCTCACTCTTTCTCCTCAGGCCTATGCAGCCACCCTCGCGACAAAACTGTTACCATACTATAGTATTCAACACTGGGTCTAACAGATGCTCAATAAAAATAAACAATGTCATGGAGAACCAATCAGGAAGTAGTTTGTGGATTCTGTTGCCAGGCCCAGACTACCATCTCCCCCCAGCGTGAAAAGGGCACATCATGTCATAATCCTGTGGGGCCAGGATCTCATTAACTTGGCACTAGTACCTTTTAGTACCAAACACTTCACCAGGAACTCCTTTAACATTTGATAAGCCTGGAGCAATTACCTGTCTAGGTGCATCTTGGGGCTGACACACAAAATGCTGGGTTCTGAATTACTTGGTATGACTCAGGAAAGAGACTAAGGAGTCATTGTAGATAGTTCTCCAAAGTCAACAGGTCAACAAGCAGGAACAACCAAAAGAGCCAATAAAATGCTGGGTATCATTAAGAAGGGAACTGAATACAAAATGGAGAACATTATCAAGCTATTATACAAATTCAAAGGGAGTGGACAAACTGGATAGAGATTGTTATGCACCAGGTCTCAGAATACAGGAGCCAAGAAGCACACACTGAAATTAGGAGACAGGTTTAAAACTAGCAAGGAAAAGTTCTTTTTCTTTTTTTTTTTTTTTTATGTAGCGGACAGTTAACATGTGGAACTCCTTACTACGGGGGGGTCATAGAGGCAGGTAGAATAGCCAGATTCAAAAAGGGACTAGTCAAATTTGGGGATGATCAATTAACAGCTAGTTGGAAATGTTTCCTCCAGCACCTCTAAACCAATGACGGTGAATGCCAGGGAGGTACGGAATAGGGACAGGTCACTTGAAATATAATCTGGTTCAATGCTCTCCCTCTAATCACTCCTGCCACTCTCAGAGACAGAACACTGGGTTAGATGGAGCACTGGTCTGACCCAGTATGGCAATTCTTATAACCTTAATATTTGCATTAATAGCCTTGTCACAAAAAATCGGAGTGTGTAAATACATGTTAATACAATGCTGGAGGTGCTAAGATGACACAGGAGGACCAGAATTTTATTCAGAAGAAACGAATGGTCTTGAGGTCTATTTAATAGTAACAGCAATTTAACTTTAGAAAGTAAAAGATAATCCACTTAAGCATTAATGAAAACAATTTTGTCTATAAACTGGGGACTCATCAACTGGAAGGGATGGAGGAAGAGCAAAACTTGATCACAAATAACTAGGCCACTGATGTGACGCAGCTATGAATAAAGTGGCTGTAATCCTGGTATATTTCAGACAAGGTATTTCCAGCAGACACCAGGGAATACCATAGTGCAAAGTTCTGGCAAGATCTCATTCAGAATACTGAGTACTATTCTAGTCACCTCTGCTCATCAAAAATGAAATTAAACTGGAAGAGGGGACGGGAAGAGTTACTAGAATGATCAGAATAGAGAGACTCTCTTGCAAAAGGCAAATCTTGGCATTTTTAGACTAGGAAAATGGATGCTGAAAGGGGATATGATTGCTGTCTATAAATAAATTGGTAGCAGGATAAATACCAGTGATGGAGAGGAGCTATTTAAGCTAAAGGACAACACTGGCAAAAAAAGAGATAAGTAAACTGACCAGAAATACATTTAGGCTAGAATTTTAGAAAGTTTGCTGCCACCAAAAGAGGGATGCCCTTGAACAGCCTTTTGATGTTAGTGAGGAATAAGAAACCTAATTATAAGAAGTTTGATAATTTTAATAAAAGCATTATATGATTTGGTTCACTGAAATAATAAGACTGAACTCAATGACGATACAAGAAGTCTCTTCCAGTCATATCTATGCCAATCACAGGGCATATGCACAAAATCCTTCTTCTTCAGCTAAGAATAAATTGAAATAAACATTATTTTAGGAAATCTGCAACAATCCAGACCCAAGGACGGCTTACAGATGTTTAAAAAATGGTGCATTACTTTTAACTCGGCTAACTCCTGCACTGAACTCGCAAAAGAGGCATTGCGTTAGTTGGACCTAGCTTGTCCAATATCTGTATAAATTGGGTGCTTTAGTGAGGGTTTTTGGGTGCTTTTATCTAATAGCTGATTGAATCAAAAAGCCCTAGTAAAGCGCTCAATCTATAGATGCTGCAGAGCTGGGTTGAATTACCACTCCGATTCTTCCAGTAACGTGCAGTTGGGGGTTTTTTTGTTTGTTTGTTTGTTTGTTTTGTTTTTTTTACATGTCTGTAAGCAGCCAAGACGACAAAATATATTAGATTCAAATGACTAAAGTATTTTTGTTTGTATTTAGGCAGAATCAAGGTTTTCCCAGACTTGCACATCTGTTATTTAGTATTTGATAATGAAGTTCAAACTTCAGGAATATATCTTTTTTTTATGGTACTTTTAGGGTCTCCTCTTTTTTAAGGGTACTTAAGGAAAGCATCACCATGATCCTTTGAAGAATGTGGTGTCAATATGCCAAAACGGTGCTCAGACTCCATGTCTATTGAGTATTTCAAGCTAAGAGGTTAACACTATCCAGCTTCAGCTTTTATATTGGGTTTTTTTTGTTTCAATCCACCATCAGGAACACTCTTGCTTGCAAACTTGGAAACAATCACCTTCCTGCATGAAAACTGTATATTACATTAGAGTTAACTAAGATTTCAGTACCTAAAAGAAGACAACAAAATCATCTATTTTCATCTATAGAAATAGATGAAAATAATAGAAAAATCATCTATTTTCTGGATGCGTGTTGTGTATTCAACAGGGCATGAAAATGCCCTGTTGAATACACAACACAATGAAAATTCATACACAATGAAAATAATAGAAAAATCATCTATTTTCTGGATGCGTGTTGTGTATTCAACAGGGCATTTACACTTAGAGTTTTTCTTGTGCAGACAGTTTCTCTCTTCTTGAAAACTCTTCTAAATATGAATAGTTGAACATGATTTTTGTAATAAGATGGGATATACTAAACTGTGGATTTCCTATAAGACACTGGAGTTCCTTAATAAACAGTTTTATTTGGTCAAGCTGAAGTTGCCCCTCAAAGCCCCATGTAAGTATCATTTATAATACTGCAGCACTGGGGAAGAAAAGAAAACAGTCTTTTCCCAAGATCACTGTTAAAAGATCAGGAGATGTACACAATTTCCGTGCAACCTCTTCTGCAGCTGGGGCAGTCCTAATGTCATATAACCTACTTCCTGCTCATGACACTACAGTGTGATATATGGTTGAAGAGCACAAACCGAATATTGGTTTTCCTGATACTAATATCCACTTAAAAAATTAAGAATTATTTACAGTATTTTACCATACCTTTCTCTTCCTCAGTAATAACTTTATCCATTGCATACTCCACATCAAAAATGTACCGGTAAAAGCACAGCTGGTTGTACAGGGCCTTGTCAGAATA